TTTTTTAAAAAATTTGATCAAACACTACAAAAATTCATATGGAACACTAAAGCCCCTGGAATAGCTAAAGTGATCCTTGGGGAAAAGATCAGAACCATCACCTTCTCTAACTTCAAACTGTACTACAAAATGGTAGTAATTAAAAGTGATAATAATTAAAACAGTATGGTATTTGAATACAAACAAATCTGCAGACCAATGTAACAGAGTTGAATATCCTGACACACACCCTCAAATTTATGATCATTTAATCTTTGATAAGAGAGCAAGAGATGTGAAGTGGTTATGATAAGGGGTTAATATCAAATATATACAAGGCACGGGTTGAACTTTGCAAGAATAAAACCTCCAACCCCATCAAAAAATAGGAGAAGAATGAACAGAAACTTTCTCAAAAAAGAGATTCAAAAAGTCAAAAGGCCCATGAAAAAAACGCTCCTCATCTCTAATCATCAGGGAGATGTATATCAAAACTATAATGAGATATCATCTCACACCATAGAAGCTGGCACACATCCAAGAGAACAAAAGCAACCAGTGCTGGTAGAAATGCAGAGAGAAAGGGACTCTCCTTCATTATTGGTGGGAATGCCAACTAGTTCAGCTTTTGGAAAACAATATGAGAATTCCTCAAAAAACTAGAAATTGAGCTCCCACTTGACCCAGCAATACCATTTCTGTGAATATAATCGAAGACTCAAAAAAAAAAAAGCATATAGCTGAAACATTATTTGCATTCCTGTGCTCATTGCAGCACTATTCACAATGGTCAGAATCTGGAAGCAACCTGCGTGCCTGAGAACAGATGAACAGATAAAGAAAAAAGGAAACTGTGGCACATCTACACGATGGAATACTACTCAGCTTTTAGGAAAAATGAATTTATAAAATTTGCCTACAAAAGGACTTGTGGACAATCATGCTGAATAATATGAGTCAGAAAGAGAGGGATATATATAGAATGACTGAATTAATTTATAGAAGAAATATCAATATCCAGGGAAAACAGGGACTAGGAGGATTGGTCAATTGTGGAATCAACCACAAGTGTGTGTGAGGTGGAGAGTAGGTAAGATAGAGAAGAGACCAGGATGGCAATAATAGCTGGAAACAATCAGCCTGGGCAAGAACTGGCTGTTAAGAGTAAGTTAATGGATATAAATGACTACCTTGCACTAGCTGTATTGCAACCCACAATGCCCCAAAAGAGAGAGAGACAGAGAAAGAAAGAGAGAGAGAGAAATTGAGAAAGAAAGAGAAAGAGGGAGAACAATAGTGCCTGCCCTAGAGGCAGGCTGGGGTATGGGTGATGGGAGGAAAACTGAGGACATTGGTGCTGGGAAATGTACACTGATGGAGGGATAGGTGTTGGAACACTGTATGACTGACACCTACTCATGAGTGTTTAGGTTTGCCATCAGGTTTGTAAGGGTCTATCTCACATCAACTAAAATAATACATCTTTTTTTAATCTTTAAAACTTCTTTAAAAAATTTTTTAAAAATAATAAAAAGAAACTTCTCAAGTCTCTTTGTTGTGATTTTTAGCAAGATGTAATAAGAAAATCATGTGTATTATTCCCTTTTTCCCTTGAGGATTTCTGCCTAACTTGAAAAATGAGCTCATAATCTGGGCATTGATATATTTTGAACAGAATGTTAAAACTATCATAAACTCAAGCAATTTAACCAATGCCTACCTCTCACAACTCTCTCAAAACTTTGCTCCACAGTGACACTGACTTTGGTTTTCTCATAGATCTACGCCCAGAATTCAGTAACATGTTCAGCACATAGGAGGCTTTTAAGAAGTACTCCCTGAGGAGATTCAAGTCAAATGAATTCCGAGGCTCTGGATATGTATTTTGCCTCTCCCAAATATTCTATCTCCAAATATTTTTTTCCTTTCCACTAATATATCAGATATTATTATTTCATCTTATAAAAAGTACAAGGTTTTCGATCTTTATATCTGCTAATGCACTACACTGTACTGCACCGTACTCCCATTGTTCATCTATTTGCTCGAGCAGGCACCAGTAATGTCTCACAACAAATTGTGAGACGACTTTTTATTGTTTTTGGCATAATGAATATGTCACAGGTAGCTTGCCAGGCTTTGCTGAGCAGGCGAGATACTCTCAGGAGCTTGCTGGGCTCTCTGAAAGGGTCAGAGAAATCGAACCCAGGTCCAATGAGTTGAAGAATTACCCCTTTTTGGATTTAGGAATGTCTAGTACACTGATGCTGAATAGACAGAACATTTGATGATAAATTTCTTAAAAGAAAATTTGTCGTCTGTTGTAGAAAAATAATGCAAACAAGATCTTGAAAGGATGATTTGCTGCAAATAATGGCAGATACTATGTAGACCTTGACCTTGTTTTGCACAATAGATGCTTCCCTGACAAGAGAGTTTATAGTTGAATATTTGTATGGCAGATCCCATTTTCTTATTGACTTTCATTATCATCTCAAGAAATGTTTTGCTCAGAAAAGAAATTGGCCTCAGTGCAGAAAATCACATTATAACATGTTTAGCTTTTGCTGGTTTTTGACTTAAGTACTCTTAATTCTTTCTTGCCAGAGGGATTAATCAAATGGAAAACTGACCATGCAACCTTTGCACATTTATTAAAAGCATAGCCACATTATAGCACATCTGATTGATTATGGTAATACCTTTCGAATTTCCCACTGCCTAGATGGAATTTGAATATATAATTTGGCACAATATCCAGTCAATGTCCCAGAATTTTAGTACAGCAGTAAGTCGAGGAACCTAATGGAAATGCCTTTTTAGACTGAACCAAAGTATTTGTCAAAAGCTGTTTCTTCATCTTTGGTGTCTCCTCCCTGTACTCCCCTTCCTCTCCTTCACACAAAAATGTCCCTTTCAGCTCTTTGCCAAGTTTAGTACTATTTTAATTAACTGTATATCAGTTTTGAATATGATCACGGCGAGCTACATAGCACAGCGGTAGGGCATTTGCCTTGCACGCAGCCAACATGGCCGACCCGAGTTCGATTCCTCTGCCCCTCTCGGAGAGCCCGGCAAGCTACCGAGAGTATCTCGCCCGCACGGCAGAGCCTGGCAAGCTACCTGTGTTGTATTAAATATGCCAAAAACAGTAACAAGTCTCACAATGGAGACGTTACTGGTGCCTGCTCGAACAAATCAATAGCAATGGGAAGACAGTGCTACAGTGCACATAATATATATGCACACAAGGCTCAACCTTCAACCACATGTTAGTGATCTTTTATAGAAGGGCTTAATGGACCCTGAGTGAATTACAACAATCTTCACACATTTTCCTCTGAGGAAACTTTTTTTGAAGCATTTTCAGCAGTTTATTCATAACAAACAATACAAAATAAATTATTTCAGTTCTGCTTTGGGGCAGGGGCTGGGGTTCAGGATGGAAGTATCTGAAATATGGTGGTGGGAGGGTGTAATTAATGGTGGTGGGATTGGTGTTCCAATATTAAATGTAATCAAATATTATGAGTTTCTTTATAAAAATAAAATCCACTGTCCACTGTCCTCCCGTTGTTCATCGATTTGCTCAAGCAGGCACCAGTAATATCTCACAATAAATTGTGAGAATTGTTGTTACTGTTTTTGGCATATCAAATATGTCACAGGGAGCTTGCCAGGCTTTGCTGTGAGGGCAAGATATTCTCAGTAGCTTGCCGGGCTCTCCAAGAGGGTTGGAGAAATCAAACCCAGGTCGGCTGCATGTAAGGCAAATACCCTACCCGCTGTGCTTCTGCTCCAGCCTGTAAAAAACTATGCACGCAGAAGGTTGTGTGTTCACGGGCTCTCTGGACGGCTCTATCTCATCGCCCGTGTTCGGTGCCCAAGAGCCGCTGTGTGAGGCCTGGATCTGGACGGCTGTTGGCCAAGGGCAGACGAAGGAAGAGATGAGGGCCATGCCGGTGATCTTTGTAGCAGTTTATTACAAGGAAGTTTATCCCATAGAAGAAATTTATGTTATGGAGTGCCTAGGTTCTCTCAAGCACAAGTTCTCCTTGCTACTCTCTCTGTGGTCCATCTTTTTGCCCTGCTCTCTCATTCTCCAGCTCCCTTCTAGTCTAGGCTGACACTCTACCCAGTCAGGTAGCCAAATCAACATAAAAAAGCCCTTCCTGACTGCCCAGGGGCAAAATACCTCTTAAGGTGTTTTTCTCTTTTCCTCAGTCCAATAAACTATCAACTATTCCTGAGGTTATGCAGGAAGGACAGAACAGAGAGCCGGCAAGCTACTGAGAGTATCTTGCCCGCACGGCAGAGCCTGGCAAGCTCCCCATGACGTATTCGATATGCCAAACACAGTAACAACAAAGTCTCCAATGGAGACTTTACTGGGCCCGCTCGAGCAAATCGACGAACAATGGGAGGGCCTTTACCTTTATAAAACATGAAATAAAATTTAAAAATACTATTACTGAAATGATATCATGCTTACCACTTTACCTCCTTTCAGCAGTGTTTTCTTAAGGTAAACAAGTCAAAATATCCCTCTGGACCCTCTTTAATAAGATACTAATTTAATTCATGAGAGCTCCAACTGTATAAATTAAACTGCTCCCAAAGGCCCCACTGCCAAATGCTAACTATTGCCTTTGGGATTTAAACTTATAAACAATAATTTGGGATAACAAAAACATTAAGATGAAAGAACTAAGAAAGATGGTTTTATATGAGCTGGGGAAGTGGGAAAAAAGAAAAGGATAGCACTAAGAAGTGAATCCAGAAGAGTAGGCAGGAGCAATATGAAGAATGTGGAAGAGGACCGCTGATGTCCTCCAGAGCAGGAACACCATCACCAAAAGGACACAGAAAGTGATATTAGTGGACAGAGAACAAGAGTTAGGGAGGAGTTCTGCCATGAATTTGGACCTCAACTCTATTTCGTTAGGACCCAACGAGACCAGAACTGTTTGTCGAACTTCTTGTGGCCCCCAAAATGACCTTTGTCCTCCTATTTTTGGTAGGTGCTACATCACTCTTACCCAGTCTCTACACCTGACTATGAGTGGGGCTCCGGCAGGACCTGCAGGTACAGGCAAAACTGAGACGACTAAGGATCTGGGTCGAGCACTGGGCATCATGGTTTATGTGTTTAACTGCTCAGAACAGATGGACTACAAGGTATATTCTCAGCCTCAGTGGGGATAGAAACTGGGCAGCCTTCCAAATCTAGGACCATGCTTGTCCTTAACTCGGCCTAATTGAGAGGCTCAGAGGGAAGGACTACTGCTTGTTCCTTCACTGGAGACCTCCAGGTTTTGACCCTAAACCTCTGTGACCTCCCCATAGACTTCAGTATTATGGAATTTCCTTCTATTTATGAGCTTTTTGACCAAGGCGAATTATTTCACCTTCAAGGTCCTCCTTTTATCATCTGTAAAATGAAAAAGCTGAATATATATGTGCAAAAGCCTGTGTTCAATATTTTACCTAGAGTCTCAGAATGGCTCATAAATGGTTGATTATAAGTCTTCATATAAAAGTAATATTGTGCTGTCCTGTGAAAGTGACATAGTTAAATGTGCTAATGAAGGAGAGTGGGAATATAACTTCTGAAAACATTAAATGAGCCTTTACTTCTAGCAAGTGATGCCCTCAAGAGACTAAACAAGCCTGTATTTTTCTTTTAGGTACTCATTGTTTTTGCATTTTGCAGTGATTTTCAGATTTTTTTAACAACAAAAAAAGAAAGAAGCAAAAAATTCATTAGGTTATACTTTTATTATTCTGGTCACAAGAATACCATAAGTAGATTATTTTAAGTGCATACCTAATTAACTATTTTAGTATTTCTGTTTTGTCTTAAACATTTTGTTGTATTTTCATATTTTCATTAAATACCATTTATAAGCTATCTTAAATCCCTTTTGAAAGCATACTGTCTTTTCGAGGGAAAATATTAAATAATCATATTAAGTTGACTCAATATTTATATATATATATATAAATCACATAATAGATACTGGAAATTAAAATTAAATTTAAAATAATTCTAGAAGGCAGGGCTTGTCCAAAACCTTCACTTGATTGAGCATTGCTGGGAGTTGCACCCAGAACAGAGCACAGCTGGGGATATCCCTATAAAAATATAATTCTGGGAAAAAAAGATAATTCTGCAGGGATCTTGGTACTTTGATGGTAGGTATGGCATACTAACATCGTATAACTAAACCATTAATATTAGCATTATTATAAATAATGATAAGATACCTTAACTTAAAAAGACATGAAGATTGTCCCTTGCTTCCAGTCATTCAACATTATTCTTGGTTTTTGGGATTTTTTTCCATAGCACTGATGCAGAGGAGACACTCTTGGCCCCGTACTCAGGGATCACTCCTAGAAGTGCTCTGAGGACTATGTGGTACCTTGGATTGGACTGGGATCAGCCATATTCAGTGTAAACTTCTAAATTCCTGTATTATCACTGTCCCCTATTCTTGTTTATTAATTGGCACCACACTTAATGGAGCACAGGGTTCTGAAGTTGCTCCTGGTGATTCTCAGGCATAGCAAGTGGCCTAGTGGTGTACAGGGGCCTCTGTGGCCATATTTGGTAGAGCTGGGGTGGGAAGGGAGTGAGTGGCATGTAGGTCAGAGTATTAAACTCGAGTCCTTGTATATTTGCTTTCCCACTTGAGCTATCTCACCATTCTTACTGTTCTTTCTGTAACACCCAACTAACCATCTTATGGAAAGTCAATCAAGCTAATTGCCTAGTTAATTTTCTATCTAACTGATATACCATTGTACTATTGTAGTAGGGTCAAAGACACTAATAAAGAAACATCCTCGTTCTGATATACTAACTCTACACTCATAGTGACTTTATCATATTTTCTTCTATTCCAAATCCCCAAATATCCCTTAGGACAATTTAGGACTTTTTCATAGCCACAGACTACTTTAGTAATTCTACTTTCCAACCAAAATTATACCTTTATTTTTCTCTGTACATGTAATGATTTTTTAACCTATGTCATGTATTTCTGTGAGACACCAACAACACAAATCTTCTGACTTTATGATATTCTGTTCTTTACAATATACTGTTTTTACAAGTACATTATGAGAAAACCAGGGTCACAAGGAAAATACTTCTAGCTCAATAATAAACTTAAATTTATTTTTTATTCCAGAATACTAAGACTCAATAAAGTAAATGTCATTCATTTTATAAATAGTCTAATGCATACTATAAATTGGCGAACATTAATTATTGGATATAGTATTTTCCATATTTACTGTTGTAAATGACTTTTCCTCAAGGAATATCTACCTGATTTGACATTCCATAAAATAAACTTTGGAAAGTGCTATTAGTACTGTATAAATTTTACCTCTGAGGAAAAGCTGATCACTCTGGAACACTTTGATTCAATCCTCTCTGAAGCCTATGACATTTAAGTTTTATTTTATGCATCATAAATTGATCATGTAGATATTTGTCAATATTATTTATATACTTCATTACTACAACTTAGCTCCATGGGCTTGTATCCTGATGTCCTGTGTCTTGGACATAAAATATGCACAGAACTGTTGAGCAAAAATTCCACTGAGGGACCAGAGAAACAATATAGGCTTGCATGTAGCTGACCATGGTTCAATTTCCAGCACCACATACTATCCCAAGCATTGCCAGATGCAGTCCTGGAGGCTCCCAACACATAAGGTGTGGCCCTGAAGACCCCTGAGTACCACTCAGGTGGGCCATGTAATTCCTGGTGCTACACAGCCATGCAGCACTGCACACCTCAGTTCCTTGCATTAAGAAGCTTGAGAGATCATCCACAATCACTGCAAGGGAACCCTGGGCCTCCTGAGCACTTCTTGAATGCCACCCCCACAGTGCTCTTGAGTAAATTAAAGGAACTTTCCTATTTTCATTTCCCCAGCATTTTATTGATGTCTCCTTGACAGTGATTTTGAATGTCTCCTTAATAATATTTCCTTTCTGTTGCTCCTTAGTTTGCTAGTTCACACTGAGTCCTCAGAATGTCCTTTACTTACTCTTATTCTAAAATTTTCTTATACAAAAATATTAATCCATACTTTAGTTTTCTTAATTGTTATCATCTCTTCTCCCTCTGTCTTGCCTCATCTTCAGTTCCCTATCACTCTGAGAAACTTGGGTATTTGAGCGTAGATTTAAAGATATAGACATAAACTTTTCCACCAGTGCTTGCCAAAGTCTCAGTAGAAAGGTTTTTGTCTGTATGGTATGAGAACAATAATCTTTTATTTATTTCCTGGGATTTTGAAATCTACAGAATCAACAGCAATGTAAGCTTGATGTAAGCATGATGACATTTTTAAAGAATTTTGGTCCTAGTGTTCTTGAAAGGTTCTGTTTGATCCCATGACTGATGTTGACATCTGTAGTCATTAAACATTTAATTGTTCTTGAAATGTTAATACAAATTCTCACAAGTAGTCTTTAGGGAACTGAAAATTGCTAGAATAAAACATTTAAAATGACTTCCATGTGCATGATAAACTCAGCACTGCTGGTAATGTAATCATTGTACATTTCTGTTGCAGTCCTGTGGCAACATCTACAAGGGCCTGGCACAGACGGGTGCCTGGGGCTGCTTTGATGAGTTTAATCGGATCTCCGTGGAAGTGTTGTCAGTGGTAGCAGTACAGGTATGAAGACCAGAAGTTGATGGAAACCTAGTGTTCTATAGAAGTAGACATCCTCTTGATATTAAACATCTACATTGATATTTCCTTTTTCCCTGACCCCTTCATGCCCTTTGCATACTTCAAAATCAAAACTATATGGTTTTATTTTATGGTTTGGAGGTAAAACCCAGTGATGCTCAAGCCTCAGTCCTGGTTCTGTGCTTCAGGATGAGTTCCAGTGGGCTTGGGAGGTCACAAGGATTGAACACATCTCAGGCACATGCAAGGCAAAAACCTTGCCCACTGTATTACTTCTCTAGTCTCAAGTCTATGTTATTTATTTTTATTATATTGATTGAGATTTGTAGTTTACAATACTATTCACATATTGACTTTCCATGCACATAATGTCAACACCACACCCTTTGCTAATCTCTCCCTCTCAGGTGTGTGGATCAGTTAGCTCATTGTGTTGCCTTTGGATCAATGATGTTACCTTGCTGTGTATCTTTAAATCCTGTGTATGAGAGAGAGACCATTCTGTATCTATCCCTGTCTGATTCACTTTACTCTGCATGATACCCTCTACCTTCATTCATATTGCTGCCCATGTGATCTTAAAATCAAACTATGTAAATTGGATCCTTCAGGTCTCTGTCAAGTTGAGCAGACACAGGCCATAATATTCCTTTTTCTATTCTGTAAAACAGGATTTAAAAGCTTCACATGCTTCGTAAGACAGGAGACCTCGAATAAAATGGCAATGCCCAACACCTTATAAATATCAGAGATTTAGGATTTGTCAGACAGGACTCAAAATTCTGCTCTTCCGTTTCTTGAGTGTCTGGAAAAGCTGTCCACCCCTCAGTCTAATTCACTCAGTTATATGAAAAGCAAGGATTAGAGCATTAAGGTTGTTAAATAGAATCATTTTAAATAATATTTTATGTGACATTAAGGCCACTTGCATTTCAAATCTTCAAGAGTTTACAGCTAAATAGAACCTAAACCTAACTTCATAATATGTGTGTTCATGAAACAAACATAATAAACACTCTTCACTAACTTGAAAAGCTCTATGCACACCGATATTCCATTGCAGCACTTAGTACAATAGCCAGGATATGAAAACAGCCCAAATGCCCAGCTACAGATGAAAGGATCAAAAAATTGTGATACATACATATGAATATACACACATATACACATTTCTATTTAGACAGAATGGAATATTATGCAGCTTTCAAAAATAACAAAATCATGAGATTTGCCACAACAAAAATGGAATTAAAGGATATATCTCTGAATTAAACGGAGTTTAATTGAATTATCCTATTCAAAAGTATAGCTATAGATTCAGAATAAAAAGGTAAAGGCCCTCCCGTTGATCGTCGATTTGCTCGAGTGGGCCCAGTAACGTCTCCATTGGAGACTTTGTTGTTACTGTGTCTGGCATATCGAATACTCTCGGTAGCTTGCCGGGCTCTCCGAGAGGGGCGGAGGAATCGAACTCGGGTCGGCCATGTTGGCCGCTTGTAAGGCGAAGCCCTACCCGCTGTGCTATCGCTCCAGCCCATAGATTCAGAATGACCTCTCTAATATATGATACTTAAGATACATGGAAAAGTAGCAACAAACAACCAAAAGCAACACAAGAGAACTGATCCACTAAACTGAGTTCGGTAGAGGGAGACAAAAGGGAGGGAAATTAGGAGAATTGGGGAAGTGAGCTGGGTACACTGGCAATGCATGTGTATTGCTGGAATTGTATGCATGAGAAACTACAATAAACGTTGTAAATCACAGTACCTCAGTCATTTTCCAAAGTTTTTTAATAATTAAAAAAATGAGATGAACAGAAATTTCCTCAAAGAAGACAAATTACATATGTATATGACAAAATATTCACTTCATTGTTTACCAATCAGAGAAATACAAATCAAAACAGCAGAGAGTCAGAGAGACAGTATAGTGGGCAGGATCCTGGTCTTGCAATGTCCAATTCAGGTTTGATCCTCAGCACCACCAGGGGTGATCCCTGAGCACAAAGCCAGGAGTGAGTCCTGAGTACTACAGGGTCTGTCCCAAGACTGGATCATCTCACACCAGTAAAACTGCACACATAACAAAGAATAAAACAACCAGAGCTTGCATGGATGTGGGCTAAAAGGAACAATTATTAATGCCTAGTGAGGAAGTTGACTGGTCCAAATATTTTGGAAAACTATATGAACACACTTCTCATATAACTAGGAATGGAGCTTCCATATGACGCAGTGGTTCCATGTTTTGGCATCTAGCCATGGGCCCCAAAACTCTATTCAGCAAAGACTTTGCAGACCTATAGTCATTCCAGCACTCTTCACAATAGCATGATTCTGGAGACAACACAAATGCCCAATAACTGATACTGGATAAACTATGGAACACATAGACCGTAAAGACAATGGAATACTTACTTGGGTCTAAGAGAAGATAAAATCATACAATTTGGATGGGAATTTAATTAGAAGAGGAGGGTCAGATACAGAGTGTTTTCCCTCACATGTGAAATATATAGAAATATAGTAAGGAAATAAATGCTCAAAGGCCATAGACACAAAACTAGTCTTCAGAGGACGCTTACCATAGCTGGGCATTGAAGAGAGAAAAAGAAGGAGGACATGAACACTGGACAAATGGTGGGGAGAAGTGGACAGTCTGGTGAACAGTATGATACTGTAATGTTTTATGCATTAAATCTTAACTTTAATAGTATTATAAATAATATTGCCTAGACTGGAATTAAAGCAGAAACTTAAAAGGAAGTGTATTTTTAATAAAACTAAATTTCTAGAAGTTGGAAAATCTTTCAAATTATGTAGAAAACTAAAAAATGTGGTAGATTTTAAAATACACTGGCTGTGTTCACATTCAGTCAATTCACAAATTACAACCAGGAATGAGGAACTTGTAGGCTCTGTTTGAATTGGAGGTTAATCATTTTTAAGGATAAGATGTGGAGTAAACATCTTTCTTAAGAGCACTAGTTAAATATTGGCATTGTCTTACAGGTCAGGAGAGAAGCAAAAGAGTTGTTTCTGTTGCACTCTGGATTTGATAGTACATCATACCATTCTTCTGGAATTTTTCTTCTTTCATTGCAGATCTCTAGTGGCATAAATCTCCATATATATTAATAATTGTTTTCTTTTCTCCATTATTATTTCTTCTTATCCTCTTCCTGCTCCTTCTTTTACTTCTCACTCCTCTCTTTTCTTTCCTCTTTTCATCATCTTTTCTTTTCTCTCTTTTCATCATCGTCATCCTCATTATAATTTAAGCAACATGGTTACAATAGTGTTAACATTCATGGCTTGATACTAAAAATTACTGCATCTCACCACTACCCAAGTGTCACCATTGACCTTTCATTATTTCGTACCTGCCTCTTCTTTTACCCAATGTAATCTCCCCCACTTCTTGGTAATATGTGTTTTGTAATCCAAGGTCAAGTCTTTGTCATCATATGATACTCTCTCCCTTTATTTCTCTGTACAGCACAGATGAGTTGGATTATCTGGTATTTTTCCTTATTTGTCTGACATTTTGCATAGCATAATACTTTCCAGTTCCATCTAATTTTCAGTAAAATATAAAGTTTCAACTTTGCTTAGACCTGCATAATATTCCATTCTGTATAGAAACAAGTATCATTATTCATTCTTAGTTTTTGAACATCAGAGTTGTTTCTATATCTTTTTCCTGGTTATTGTACTGCAATGAACATTGGTGTGCATAAATCTTTTTGAATTAATTTAGTGTAAGAATGTCATTTTTATTTGAATTTCTCTAAGAATATGTCATAAATACTTTTCCCAAACATCTCCATCCTGTCTGAATATTCTTTTTGTGGAAATGGGTGTTTATCACTTCTCTGATTTTTAATAGAATTATTGTTGTTGAGCTTTTTGATTTTTTTATATATTCTTGAATATTAGCCTTTTATTTAATGGATGTTATGCATCCATTAAATTATATTTTATATTTTAAATTATATTTTATCTCACTCAATAGGGTATCTTTTTTTTTAGCCCTAGTGTCTTCTTTTTCTAACTTCATCTGAACAATATGGTTTGCAAAGTTGTTCATAATGCAGTTATTTTGGACTTTCCGGTTCTAACCTTCAATGATTAGTGTCACCTTTTTTCTCCAATTTCCCACCCATCTTTAAAGCCTACCTCCTTAGCAGGAACAAAATATTTATTTTATATTACTTTATTACAATAAAACGGTAAATGGGAATTATCAAAAAAGCAGTACATTAAATGAAAATTTGTGAAAATTTTGTTATATCTCATAATGGTTTTATTAAAGTTATTGTATATCTTCTTTTCTGAAAATTTTCTGTTTGTTGCAAGTTGAGCCTTCTGTGTTACTGTTTTCATTGAGCTTAATGAGCTCCTATGCTACTTACCCTTCTAATTTGTTATACCCTGCTTCACTGTCAGGGTTATAGAGTTGAAAGGTTTGCATGTGTGTGTGTGCAGAAGCATGCCAGGAACTGTGGAACTGGGGTGATTCATTGGCTTGCAGACCAGTCTGCATGGGAGTTTCGTTGCCTTGGCATCTAGCCTGAGTATCCTTTGCAATGTAAAAACTTCTTAGTTTGATTTAGTCCCATTTAATTATTATTAGTTAAGTTGATTCCTAGGAATTTGATGAATTTGGATGCTATTTTAAATTGTCTTTTTAAATTGATCTCTCTTCTAGTTTGTTGTTTGATGTATTTTAATGTATTTTGTATTAATTTAATGTACTTTTGTATATTGATTTTCTAGCCTGCTACCTTGCTGTATTGGCTTAATATGTATATAAGTTTTTTAGGGGTATTATCATCACTGTCACTGTCACTGTCCTTCCATTGTTCATCGATTTTCTCGAGCGGGCCCAGTAATGTCTCCACTGTGAGACTTGATGTTTCTTTGTTTGGCATATCAAATATGTCACGGGTAGCTTGCCGGGCTTTGCCATGCGGGCGA